TGCGGTTATTTGGGCTGCTCTTTGTTTCTCTTCATGTCTGAAAGGGGGATTTGGAAATAGAAATGTAATATTACATGAAGGATCTCCCAGCTGAAGGGAGAAGGTGAGCGCAGGGGGCGGCAAAGGGGACAGATTATTTTGAACAGGAGCAGTTCGCTTGCAAACTGGCTTTTCTTTTCTTTTCTTTTTTTTTTTTTTTTTTTGCTTCCCACCCTCTCTTCTTTAATGTAATAAAAGCTTCCTTCACAGCGGGAGAAATTTATGCTCGAGATACAGCAACTTTGTGGCTGGTAATTCTCGAGGCCAACGATGTCAAATAATCCATTTTCTCGGGGCTGCGCGGGGGAATAAAAGGATCCTGCTGCACGGAAGGCAGCATGTCCAAGCCCCGCGTTTCTCTAGCATGCGACGTTAGCACAAGGGATTGATTTTTTTTATTTTTTTTTTTTTTTTACGTGGGGGGAAAAATAAAGCGCCAGCATTTATTTTTATTGCAATAAAAAGTACTGCCCTGTGTTTCCAGAGAACGAGATCCAGTGTCAGCGATCAGTCAATCACTGCAGACCAGTTACCGCTGCGCAGCTTGGCTCAGTAAATAAAAATCCAGACAAAACTGTATGCTGTATAGTTTACTCCCATGAAATAAAACACATTTTTTTTTCATGTTTGCTGAAAAGTAAAACAATAATATTGTACGAAATGTTATACACAGGGCATGTTTTACATTGCAATATCAGAAACATCATTGCATCCACCAGAAGTACTATTCTAAAACTGATATTCACACAATTTTTTTTAATAATTATATGTTAGAAACATACAGTGTCGCATTTAGTATATACATTCCCTTGCTTGCAAGCGAAAAAATCCTAATCGCTTCTGTGTAACATGCTTTATTTTAAAGCCTAACCTTTTAAAAACACTGTTGTGATATTACTAACAACTGCTTTTATAAAATTAATTTGACATTTCGATATATATACATCCTTTCAGTCATTTTTATGTTAACAATGCTAAACTTAAAAAATAACAAGCTTATAGTAACATTAAAATGTCATATCATATCCACTCAAACATTTGTCCATATATATATATATATATGTCCTTGTAACTGTTGAAATACTCTTAGTGAAAGAAAGATCTCAGAATCTGTAGGAGGTCCTTTGAAAACAAAGGACCTATCTTATTTCAGTGGTTTCCTCTTTTTTCCTCTCTCTCTCTCTCTCTTTTTCTCTCTCTCTGTCTCTGAGTTTTCCTCCTTTCTCTTTCTCTCTAGTGCCCATTACTTTCTAGTGAAATTCTCAGTCTCTGCGGGAAATGGGGAGGGATTCCCATGCAGTGTTTCCTACTTGGTTGTCTCACACGGGTCTGTCCACCGCGTACTGGCAAGCACTCAGGTTGGAAGCGGGGTTCTGCACACTGGCATAGCCAAAACTGGAGTGCTGCTTGGCTTTAAGTCTCAGACTCGCCAAGCTCGAGTTACATGTGTCCCTATAAACATACGGAGGTGTTGGAGGAGCATAAGGACAGGCTGGTGTTGGCACTGCAGAATTCAGGGAGGGATTGCTCAAGTTGTTCAAGTTATTCAGGCTGTTGAGGCTGGAGCCGGGGACCCCGGTGACTGCAGAGGGTACCATGCTTGAAGACATACTCATGGAGGAGATGGAGTTTGGAGGGGAGAACATGCTCTGAGAAGACAGAGGGTTGACATTCATGGAGTTGAAGAAAGGAAAGCTTTTGGTGGAGAGGGAAGCGGAGGTCAGGCCCTTGGCTGCCCAGTTGTTGTACGAGTAGCCGGGGTACATGTCATCGTAGGGCTGCATGAGGCCGTTAAACTGTGGACCGAAACCGTTTTTGCAAAGCTCGGCTTGCTGGTTCCTTTCTCTCTTTCTCCATTTGGCTCTGCGATTCTTGAACCAAACCTTTGGAAACGGGGGGAGAGGGAGGGAGATGCGAGACGCCAGTTAGTCAGGAACCACCACCATCACCGCAGCCCTTTGCAAGCTCTCGGGGCAACAGCCGAGCTTGTCCGTATATACATATGTATATATAAATGTGTACGTATATACACACACATACATATATAGGTTCGTCTAGTCCTCTGCAGAGCCCCGCGCTGGGCCGGGACAGCGATGTGCTGCCGGGGCCGCCGGGGTTTAGCAGGGCAGACCCGTGGCAGCGCCATCCACCATCAGTGTGTGTGGGGGGGTTGTCCCCCCAGCATAATTTCATTTTCACTTTGAATTCACACTGGTTATTTTTGGTTGCTTGCTTCCTTTTTTTTTTTTTTTTTTTGTCCCGTCCTTCCCGTCTTTTTTCTCTTTTTCCTCCCTCCTTCCTTGGCTTATTCCGCACTGGAGCCATCCAGGGGAAATACAAAAGTGCAAAAGCGAGGGCAAAACGCCTGGAAACCCGCGGAATTTTAAGGCGATGTTTCCTATTACGGGGAAGGAGAGGGAAGCCAGCAACTAATAAATCCTTACTTCAGTTTGTTAAAGCTACAAGTTCCTCCCGCACGAAAGCTTACAGAGCCGAAAATCACTTTCTAAACAAACTTGTTCGACTGCTCTTTGGCGGAAAAAAGGGGGAGAAAAAAAAA